ACAGCCTTTGTAGTTGCTGTTGTTGTTGTTGTTGTTAAGTGCAGTCGAGTCGCAGGAGACTCATAGGGACCCTATGAAGGAGAGTCCTCAATGCTTGGGTGCCTTCCATCCTCTCTCCAGGTTCATAGGGTTTCCAGAGGCAAGCTATTACGGAAGTGGATGCCCTTCCTCCTTCCAAGCTTGTTTTAATCGGGGAGCTCCACTCCACTCTCTGTCCACATTGGGTAGCCAACCATTAATGCATTTGACACATCAGTGTCACAGCTTCACAGCCATTAGTACAGCTTATTCTAATATATGTTCCATTTGCATGTTGGGCAATCTCCTCCGATGTTATTCACAGACTCTAAAAACCCAGGGAGGGTCAACTATGAGTCAGTTCTGACTTGCCAGCAATGAACAGAAACTATTTGCAATGAAAAATAATAAGTATTCAGTCATTATTATAGATCTTTACTTGCCAATTACTTGTTTAATAGAAATTCAAAGTTTCAAATTTCTATCCTCAATTTAAAAAAATCTCCAAAAAACAATGTTGTTATTTATTAAAGAAAATATCTTACATGGCTTTTGATGTCATTGTGCAGGCACCAGTTGAACAACGGCAGTTGTCATTATAATTATTATAACTCAATCCCAGATTAAGGCCAATTAGCTGCACAATAACTACAGCAAATGACTCCAAGGATAAACCATCTGGATACTAAATATAAGAAAAAAAAACAGAAAAAGAGTTAGCTAAGAATCATATTCCATAAAAAAATACTGTAATAATATATAAAACTCAATTTAAAGATTTTTTTAAACTAATGCAAGATGTCTATGTAGACACAACTATAGTTGAGTTACATTTTAATGCTAGACTTCATTAAACATTGGTGAATAAACACTGTATTTAAATTTCAAAATAAAAATTCATTAAATGCCAAGACTGGCTTACTAAAAAAATCTATTCATAGAGTCTTGGGTTCCACATTGGTATTACTTCTTGGAATTATGTTAAATAAAAGATCCTTAATTTTTCAATAATTTGTTTTACTTTCTCCATAGTTGTTGTTGCCGTTAAGGGCTGTTGAAGTACGCACCTGAGACTCAAAGCAACTCTGTGTACAGCAGTTATGAAGCCTGCCCTGTCCTGAGCCAGTCTCAACAATTCTGGCACATCATCCCTCATGGCCCTAGTCACTGTATCAATCCATATCATTCGGAGTCTTCCTTTCCTGTGCTCTCCCTCCACCCTTCGAGCATGAAGTCCTTCTCCAAATACCAGTCTGGCCATGTGCCCAAAGTATGAGACAGAGCTTCAAAATCCTAGTCTTCAAGGAAAAATTTGGTTTCACCCTTTCCAAGACAGACCTATTTGTTTTCTTGGTAGTTCAGTTTATATCCAAGACTCTTCTCCAGCACCACAACTTGAAAGCACTGATTCTTCTTCTGTTATCCTTAGTCACTGTCCAGTTATCTGGTGCATAGCAAGCAATTACGAAGAACAGGCCTGGATTAGGCACACCTTAATTGTCAGATAGACATCGCTGCTCTTTTAGCACTCTGGAGAAGTCCCTGACAGCAGAGTTTCCCAGAGCAATTCGTCTTTTGATTTCCTGACTGCTGGTGTCAAGAGTGTTGATTGTAGAGCCTTTAATGGACACTCTCCCAACAGATCCTAGTAATATCCAACTTCTGATATGGGTGCCTCTGTGTAATGCTATTCCCTGGAAGGCAGACAGGACATATTGACATGGCTGGTTCCAACTTGACAGCACAAAGCAACAATTAAAAGAATATATGAGAGTGTTGATGAGTCATCATTTTCAAGATTATGCTATAAAAAGATTGGCTTCCATCTTGGTTTCTCTATCTTGCCCAAACCAAATGCCATGCTATGAAGTAAACCCATGAAATAACCTGTAGAGAGGCCCACATGAGTAAGGCTGGATATAAATTTTCTGAGATCGCTAACCAGTCACATAGGTTATCTTGGAAACAAAACCTCCTACAGTCAAGACTTCAGGTGACCAAAGTATTAAATGAAACTTTGCAGCCTTATCTCCCTATCCCCACCTCATTATCAGGCAGGAAGCCTCTTCTATCATCAATATTAACTAGGAGACTGATGACAGTGTTTCCCTAGGAGTTCTAACTCTGACTGAAAGCATGCCCATGCCATCAAGCTGGGAGTGTGCAGGTTCTACATTCAAAACTTTCCTCCGGGCACTTGTGGACTATGCCACCCGTGGCTTGCTTTCCACCTTCCAATGAGTGAGGACACCACACCACCTCTGACTGGAGCTTTTCCTTCTCACTGGGCATCTTTTCCCAGCATACTCCACAGACACATTTGGAACAATTCAACCTTTGCAGAGTGCACCATCCTGGGCATGTTAGGTCGGCAGTGATTATTTCTTCAGGTTAGTCATCTCTGACTAGATACCTTGCCTGGACTTATCCCCTAGATTGGAAGACACCATCTCTAGCCAGGTGGAATAGCCTACGCTCTTCTAAGGCCAGCAGAAACTCTGCCCCAGTTACATATCCCAAGCCCTCAAAGGCTCCTAAACCAGAAAAGGTGTAATGTGTGATGCAGCGTGAGGCTCAGCCACCACTCAGATGAGCAGAATCTCTGTGCTGACTGGGCATCCCAACTCCAATCTTCTGCTGAGTGGCAGGTACATTGTTCTATCCTGACACCTCCAGCTCATGTCTCTTTGAATATTTGCTCATTTGTTTTACAGTTTGCTCTTGTAAGTTTTTCATTTCTGCCTTTCTATTCTGATTCTCTCTTTCTGTTTTATTGACCCAAGTTTTAGTTTTCTGGATTTTTTTTTTTTTTACTGGTCAATCTTGTGGTTTTTATTGTTGTTTTAGGGTGTTTTTTCTTTTTCTTTTCTTTTCTCTTCTCTTCTTTTCTTTTCTCTTCTTCTTCTTCTCCTTCTCTTTCTCCTTCTCCTTCTCCTTCTCCTTCTCCTTCTCCTTCTCCTTCTCCTTCTTCTTCTTCTTCTTCCTCTTCCTCATCCTCCTCCTCCTTGTCCACCTCCTCCTCCTCTTCTTCTTCATCCTCCTGCTCCTCCTCCCCCTCCTCCTCTTCTTCTTCTTCTTCTTCTTCTTCTGTTTGCTTCTGTGTTGCTTCCTTATCTCTGTCCCATTTGACCACAGATAGTAGCAGGACCTAGCCACTCAGACACCTCCTGTAGCTTCACCCATTAAGCAGGACCAAAGGCTGGCTCCTGCTCACTTGATCAAGAAAAGACTGCAACACGCCGACCCATGCTTCCCGGAACAGCTCTACACAAACATTGGACAGAAACCTGTACACACATCACCATCCTCTATCACAACTACCAGAAGACAAGAGATGAAACACTAAGAATTACCAAACTAGCAAGCAACACAACACACACAGCTGAATCAGTTATGCTGAAGCAAAATACTGTAAAGACAATACTACAACCTACAACATCGAGTATACAGCAGACAACTTCAAGCAAGGCAAAACCAACAAGACAATGATGGAACCAGAAAAAGGATCAAAGTACAGAACCAACAATGACAGAAAGAGATAGAGATATAGAGATAGAGAGAGAGAGCGATAACCAAAGGAGCCCTGGTGATACAGTAATTAAGCACTTGGCTGCTAACTAAACATTGACTGTTTGAATCCATGCAGTCATCTGTGGTAGAAAAACCTGGGATTCTGCTCCTATAAAGATTATAGACATGAAAATCATATGAGCCAGTTTGACACTGCTCTCCAAATATTACATGAGTCCCCTCTCTCCCTTTCTCTCTCCCATTCTGTCTCTACTTATATGTTTTTCTAATACATTCACACTCATAGGTACGTACAATCACACACAAACAATGCCTTTGATTCAGAACCAATCCATAAGCAACCCTCCAGGGGGTTTTCAAGTCAGATCTAACTCATCTTTTCCTTCTTGTGGATTTTCTGAGTCTGTAAATCATGTGAGTGGAGACTGCTCACCTCTCTCGTGGAGCTGCTGGTAGATTCAAACTGCCAGAGTTGTGCCACTTTGGGGTAGCAGCATAACTCCCTGCAATCTATGCCACTAGAGTTCTCTATATCCAACTGTTGCTGTTATTGTGAGGAGCTGTTGAGTCCAGTGTGACTCATAGTGACCCTATGAACAGTCTACCTGAAACTTACCCTATCCTGTTCCATCCTCATAATAGAACCCATTGCTGAAGTCACAGTGTCAATTCATCTCCTTGGGGTTCTTCCTCTCCTTCGCTGACCCTCCATATTTCCAAAGATGATGTCCAAGGAATAGTCTTGACTAGCTACAGGTACAAAGTATGAAAGATGAAGCTTCCAAGCCTCCAAGGAGCACTCTGGCTGCGCCCTTTCCAGGGCATATCTATTTGGGTTTTTTTGCAGTCCATGGGATATTCAGCACTCTTCTCCAGCACCACAACTCAAAGACATAATTCTTCTGTCATCTTTATTCATTGCCAGCTCTCTGATGTGTAGCATGTGACTGAGAAGACCGCAGTTTGAAACAGGTGCACCTTAGACTTCAAACTGGTGTCAATGCTCTACAGTATTTTGGAGAGGTCCCTTATAGCAGACTTGCTCAGTGCAATACATCTCCTGATTTTCTGACTGCTGGTTCCAGATTGTTGATACAAGCGAGATGAAATCATTAACAGTTTCATTTTTTTTCTACATCTATCATAATGTTGACTGTTAGTTTTGTGGTAGGATTTTTGTCTACTCCATGTTGAGAAGTAATCCATACCAAAGGCTGTAGTCATTGATCTTCTGCACAGGCATTTCATATCTTTCTCACTTTCAGCAAGCAGAGTTCTGTTACTGGTGTAACACAGGTTGTTGCCACACTCACCTTCATAGAATCCAGGATTGTGAATTAGTTGCTCAGAATAGAGATTGAATAGGTATGGAGGAAGGATGCAACCCTGATGCACATCCTTCCAGATTTAATATGCAGTGTCCCGTGCTCTGTTCGCATAACAGCTCCATGTTTTAGGTATAGATTCTGTGTGAGCATAATTAAGAGTCCTGAGATTTCCATTCTTCTCAATGTGAACCATAATTGTTATGATCTCCATAGTCAAATGACTTTGCATTGTCAATAAAACACAAATATACATTCTTCTGGTATTATCTGCTTTTAGCCAGATCCATCTGATATTACTAATGATACCCTGGGTGTCATGGCTTCTTCTAAAACCAGCTTGTACTTCTGGCAGTTTCCCAACACTATACCATTCTATCTCCTTTTGAATGATCATCAACAATATTTTGTTTTATGAGATATTAATGATACTACTAAATAGTTTCCACATTCTGTTTGGATCATCTTTCTTGGGGATGGGGACTACTAAGGATCTCTTCCACTCAAGACATCCAGGTAGCTGTTCTCCAAATCCCTGGTACAAACTGGTGAGCACATGTAGGGCTGCATTTGTGAGTTCAAAGATGTCAAATGATTTTGATTCCTAGGGCCTTATTTTTTGCCAATACCTTCAGGGCTGCTTGAACTTCTTTCAATACCATTGGCTTTTGTTCATATGATACCTCCTGACATTTTCTCTGTCAACCAATCGTTTTTGGTACAGTGATTCTGAGTATTTATTCTATCTTCTTTTGATGCTTTCTGCATCATTCAAGACTGTGCCATAGCACCTTTCAGAATTGAAAGTCAAGGCTTGCATTTGCTTTTC